TTCAAGTGATTCTCCTGCCTCAGCCTCCCGAGTAGCTGGAACTACAGGGGCATGCCACCAAACCCAGCTAATTTTTGTATTTTTAGTAGAGATGAGTTTTCACCATGTTGGCCAGGTTGGTCTCAAACTCCTGACCTCAGGTGATCCACCCACCTCGGTCTCCCAAAGTTTTTTTGTTTTTTTTTAAAGACACGTTCTAGGCTGGGCAAAATCTTGGGATACTAAGGCGAGCAGATCATGTGAGGTCAGGAGTTCAAGACCAGCCTGGCCGACATGGTAAAACTCTGTCTCTACTAAAAACACAAAAATTAACCAGGTATGGTGGCAGGCACCCATAATCACTCAGGAGGCTGAGGCAGGAGAATCACTTGAACCCGGGAGGCGGAGGTTGAAGTGGACTGAGCTCACACCACTGCATTCCAGCCTGGGCGACAGAATGGGACTCCATCTCAAAAAATAAATAAATAAATAAATATAAAAGACACATTCTCCCTCAGTTGCCCAGGCTGGAGTGCAGTGGTGCAATCATAGCCCACTGCAGCCTCCAAACTCTTGGACTCAAACGGTTCTCCTGTCTTGGCCTTCAGAAGTGTTGGGATTATAGGCATGAGTGCCTGGCTAGAATGTTTTCTTATGAATAAATATGTACAACTCTCCAAGTTAAAATAAGTGAAACTGTAAGTGTAAACAGTAAGCTACTATTTGTGTATAAACAAACAAACCACCAACAACAACAACAAAATATATATATATATAAATCTGCTGATGCATTATAAGCAGACACTGCTGCCAGAACGATTTACAAGGAACTAGGAACAGTAGACGCCCGTGGGAGGGAATTTGTGTGGCTAGTGAGACTTACTTTTCTTTTTAATCATTGCAAACTTTCAGTATCTTTTCAATTTGATCAAGTGTGCATGCACCATACAAATAACAAAATAGGAAAAGGAGGGGCCGGTACAGCGGCTCATCCCAGCACTTTGGGAGGCCGAGGCAGGCGGATCACAAGGTCAGGAGATCAAGACCATCCTGGCTAACAAGGTGAAATCCGGTCTCTAATAAAAATACAAAAAATTAGCTGGGCATGGGGGCACATGCCTGTAGTCCCAGCTACTCGGGAAAGGCAGGAGAATCTCTTGAGCCCAGGAGGTGGAGGTTGCAGTGACCTAAGATCGTGCCACTGCACTCCAGCCTGGGCAGCAGAGCTAGACTCCATCTCAAAAGAAAAAAAAAGGAAACAATATAACAGAAACTAGAATCTGTGATAGACATCTGCCACACCCAATACCTCCTGTATATTTTCTGTTTTCTGAGACAGGGTCTCACTCCTTTACCTAGGCTGGAGTGCAGGGGCTCGATCTCAGCTCACTGCAACCTCCCCCTCCCAGGTTCAAGCGATTCTCCTGCCTCAGACTCCCGAGTACCTGGGATTACAGGCACCCACCACCAGGCCCAGGTCATTTTTGTATTTTTAGTTGAGATGGGGTTTCACCGTGCGGGCCAGGCTGGTCTCCAACTCCTGACCTCAGATGACCCGTCCACGTGGCTCTGCCTCCCAAAGTGCTGGGATTATAAGTGTGAGCCACCACATCTGGCTAGTATCTCCTGAATTTGATAAAGTGTGCATGTACCATACAAATAACAAAATATGAAAATGATATAAGCGAAATTGGAATCTGTGCTAGACACCCCCCCACACACACAATATCTCCTGTGTACTTTGGGCAGGTGTTACTGCTGTCATCACCCTCTCTGCAGTCGATGAAACTGAACCAGCTCATAGAAGACCAGGAAGCTGCCCAGGATCACCCAGCAAGGGGGTGAGTGGTGGAGCTGGGTCCCCACCCAGTTCTGTGGTCAGGCTTGGTACAGTGCCCTCCAGGGAATCAGCTGCCCAGGATCACCCAGCAAGGGGGTGAGTGGTGGAGCTGGGTCCCCACCCAGTTCTGTGGTCAGGCTTGGTACAGTGCCCTCCAGGGAATCAGCTGCCCAGGATCACCCAGCAAGGGGGTGAGTGGTGGAGCTGGGTCCCCACCCAGTTCTGTGGTCAGGCTTGGTACAGTGCCCTCCAGGGAATCAGCTGCCCAGGGCCAGTCACTGCTGAGCAGGGCCCCAAGACTGAACCATGAAGATGGATAATTCTAGAAACTTCGCCCTGGACAGAATCTGTGAGAAGGATCTCGCCGCTGTGGAAAGGCCTGCCATCATGGAGTACGTGGGAGGCCAAGCCTGGCAAACCTGGCCCCATCCCGTACCACCTGGGTGACCTCCTGACCTCCAACAGGAAATCTTCCCATTGTGAACCTCATCCACGTTCCCACTGAGGAAGCCGCAGGAGGAGTAAATAAGATGACAATTGAGAAAGCCACTCCTCCCAAGCAGGTGCACAAAAAATCAAAACAATAACAGGTCTCTCAGACTCAAATGCCAATTTCCAGAACCTCTGAGCTGCCCGGGCTCTCTCTGTCTCCTGGGTCCAGACAGCTGTGATATAAACACTCCTGTTGTTTGCTACATTTGTCCTAACGCTCATTCATTCAACTCACATCCATCCACGCAGGGCCTTCCACGCGCCAGACCCCGGTGGTCCCGGCGCGGTGGGAACGGGTCCCCGCTCCTTACACGTGCCACCCCCCCCCCAGGCCCGCCTGTCCCCAGCTCACAGTCACCCCCCATCACTCGGTGCTCCTTGGTACTCGCGCTTGGACCACACCCGCCGCCCACACGCATCCGCGGCCCAGGCCACGCGGACCGGATCCCCCACCCGCGCCTCCAGGAGCGCCCCCCTTGCGCCACAGCTCCCGCACGCCGCCGGGCGTCAGCGCCTCCGCGCAGGCTCCGCCCCTCACGCCCCAGGCTGCCAGTGAGCGCCGCGGCCTGGGCCGGCCCCGCCCCGCCCCGGGGAACCCCAGCCGCGGATTGGTCGGTCCGGGCGCAGTTTCCCCCGCACGTGGGGCGGGGGCGGGGTGAATGGAGTGGCAGCGAAGCCCCGCCCCCGCCGCCCCGCCCCCACCTCCCAGCCCGGCCCGCCCCCCGCGGCACCCAGTCCAGCGCCCGCCGCCCGCAGTCCGGGACCCTGGTGTCTGGCTCCCAGAGAGCCGGGACCCCGCGATGGCCAAGCGCAGCTCGCTGTCCATCCGCATCGTGGAGGGAAAGAACCTGCCCGCCAAGGACATGTGAGAGCGGCCGGGGGTGGGAGCTCCAACTTTCCGGGGAGGGGCGCTGACCCCCAGGACGCCTGACCTTTCCGGGGTCCACCCACAATTAGAGCAGCGGAGAGGGTGCGGGAGTGCGGCCGCGGTGGGGGATCGGCGGGGAAAATGGGGACAGTGACATCTGCGAGCACCAGACAGGGGGTGACAAGAGGGGGACTAGTGTCCCCGAAGGCGGGGGTGGGGGGCTGGGAACTGGGGAGGGGGCGGGAATCTGTCAGCGATCCGCGGCTCACCAGGGGAAGGGGCTTTGATAGGACCGGAGCTGGAGCCGGGTGACATGCCAGGGGAGACGTCTTGGTGGTCTGCCCCTGGGGTGCTGTTGGACGGGATGGGAGGGCCCCCGTGCAAAGGAAGGGTCTTCCTTAGTAGTTCCAGAGCCCTTAATGCCCTGGAGTGTGTACCTGAAGCACACGTTGGGCCCAGGAGCTGTCCCCGGGCTTCCTGCTGTGCACTTGGGTAGGAGAGACTGGCATGAAAAGTGAGAACAGGTCAGGAGGCCAGGACTGGTGCAGGACGGTGGGGGGGCGGGGGAGGGTAGTAACTCGCTTGTGCCTCAGGCTTTACACCTGAGCCAACCCGTTAATCCTCGCAACCACCCCGCAAGGCAGTTCTCTCCGTTCCATTTCACAGATGAGGAAATCGAGGATCAGAGACGTGAAATGCTGGCTCCAAGTGGCTGGCAGAGCAGGGCCTTGTGTCTAGGGCTTCTAACAGGCGCTGACATCTGGGGATTCCCCTGGTCCCTCGCTAGATTTGGGGAGGCTTCAGGGGCCCCTTGTCCCACCCTTCTCAGTAGGTCCCAGGGCTGAGCTGCCTGCCCCTGGGCCCCCCATCTTGGCATTGTCACCACCTTCCTCATGTGCAGGCTTTAGGCAGCTCCCTGATCCTAGAGCCTCAGTTTCCCCTCTTTAAACTAGGGGTTGAAATCCCTCTAGAGGAAGAGGGGGAAAGCTCAAAGATGGAGGGGCACTGGCTGCCTGGAGGAGGACGGTGGGAGGGGGAGAGGGGATCCTGGAGGAAACAGAGTCCAAAGTCTGCAGGGCTGCAGTTCCCCACCCCTGGGGTTCCTCCTCGGGCACCCCGGGCTCCTGGATGCAGAGAAGTGGCCAGCGTGGGCGAGGGGGTGGAGCAGGGTGGGGGCAGGCGCTCCGCTCGCACATATGTATGGTGGCCCCTGTGAGCTTCCCAGCACGCTCAGCGCGCCACCACCGAGAGCAGTGCCAGTTCCAGGCCCCCTGGGTCTGATGAGGCCCAGCTCAGCAGTTGCCATGACAATGGGGAAGGGAGGGGTTGGACATCCCTAGGTGGGTTTCTGCCCTTGGAGGCTTGGAGGGAGGTGGGGCAGAAGCTGGCAGCGAGGTCTGTGGGCTGGGAGGCAGAGGAGCTCTGAGAAGGGTCTCAGCCTCCAGGCCCAGCCTTTAAGCACCCTCCCACCCCACCCCCACCACCACTGGCATTAGGAACTAGGTCATCTTGGCCTCTTCTGGCTGGTGGCGGCTGGGAGGAGCAGCCCCTCCGTCTGTTGCCTCCCTCCTCATCCCTGCAGCAGCTGGCCCTAGGCTCCAGGCTCTCACCAGCCCAGGGCAGCGAAGCTCTTGGGCTGTGCCCATGAAGAAGCCAGGGGCCTGGCTGCCAGTGCTTTGCCTCTGGGCAAAAGGATTTCATCTACAGGGGAGGGATGCCTTGGAATCTCCCTCCTCACCCTGCCCCCCTGCCTGCCCTACTCACATCCCCATTGCAACTTCCCTATCTTCCCCTGTGTCTGACAAACACAGCTCTGACCTGTCAGCCGCCTTTTAAACCATCCCATAAACTCAGTCCCTCACTGTGGGCTACTACCCTTCACATCTCTGCCTTCACCCACGTGTGGGGACTTCTGCCTTCAAGCACTCCTCTTCAGTCCTCCAGAAAACTCTTATTCATCCTTCAGAACCCCTCTCAAACTTCTCCTCTCCAGGGCTTTCCCTGCTACCCTTGGGCAGAGTTCCTGGCTCCTGGTCTCACCCCTCCGCCCAGCACTTTGAGTGGCAAGAGGAAACCCCTGGTGAGGCAGTGCAGCCGCCAAGCACTGTCCCAGCTGACTGTGAGGGCAGGGACCTTGACTCATTCTTCCTGGCATTCCTGGTGCCCTGGGTCCATTGTAGGGGAGAATAAGAGGTGTTCAGAACTTCCCCCACTTAATCCTCTTCTTAGCTTTATAAAGTAGACATCCTCACTTTGCACATGGGGAAACTGAGGCTCAAAAAGTGAAAGCTGTTTGCCAAGTTGACATAGAGGGTAGGTAGAGAAGTCAGGATTCAGATTGCTTTTGCCTGCTGCCGACAGGCCAAGAATCCAAGCCTGCCCATGGCCGCAAGGTTGCAGCTGCACTCAGTGGGACTGAGCCTAGGAAATCCTATGCAAAGCATTTGGCTGCAGAGTTGGGCAGGGGTTTGGAAATCAGAGGAGGCCCTCACTGAGTACTAGAGTTTCACTGTGCCTCACCAGCGCCCCGCCTATCTTCTGAGCAGCATCCCCTACAGCCAGGGCTTGCATACTTCCGAGGACAGGGAGCTCACCACCTCTCATAATGGCTCATCTTGATTGAGACAGTTCCAAGAAGGGAGCTACCCTCACACAGCTGCCAGCTGCCTCCCTGCCACTTCTAGTCATGGGTTTTTATTCCTCTAAAGGGCACGGAGCGCAGCTGCATTCCTCATCACTAGTAGCTTTCAGAGCCTGCCCGTTCCTGCCCTGCCTCTTCCCACTGTACTCCATCCCCACGTACCTAGGCATGAGCAAGTCTCATAATGACCAGTGACCCACTGCCTCCCGCACCAAGTGGCCCTGGGGACTGGCCCAAGGCTATTTCAGGGTTTCCCCTGATCCTCCCCTTTCCACAGCCTAGAAACTGCCAAGGCCCTAAATATAGAGGCCCCGAAAGTAGCCAGATGGGGCCAGTGGCGACTGGCTTGAGGAAGAAGAAGTGAGAGAAGCTGGCAGCCTAGGGGCCTCACTAGCCAGCGCAGAAGGAACTGGACAGGGCACAGGTCCCAGCAGCCCACTGGGTACCATGGTTGGGCCCAGATCCTTAAATCTGGCCTCAGCCGACTCTCAAGACTGGCCTCTTCCCGCCCCTCTGATCCGGCCACCCAGCTCTTCATAGTCCTTGCACACCAGGGTTCGGGTCATGCTTCCAGGCCTTTGGAAGCAGAAGCAGCCCAGTAGTGGGGGACAGTCCAGAGAGGCCCCGTCTTGCCTCAGCCAGCACTGACCTCTCCCTGCCTCCTCTGAGCTCCTTGTAACGCTCCTGGGTCCTGCAGCCCAGCCCAGCACCTGAGGTGTCCAGGGGCCTGATTGCTTAACACCTTTAGTGCCCTGGCTTTGGTTTGGTGGGATGCAAGCTGGGGTATTCACAGGGGGCTCCCTGGAGGAGGAGGCTCTTTATTTATTTGTTTATTTATTTTTGAGACAGAATCTTGCTCTGTTGCCAGGCTAGCTTCCTGGAGGAGAGGGCTCTTTATTTTACTTACTTATTTTTGAGACAGAATCTTGCTCTGTTGCCCGGGCTGGAGTGCAATGGTACCACCTTGGCTCACTGCAACCTCCCACCTCTGGGGTTCAAACGATTCTCCTGCCTCAGCCTCCCCAGTAGCTGGGATTACAGGCGTGCACCACCATACCCAGCTAATTTTTGTATTTTTAGTAGAGATGGGGTTTCACCATGTTGGCCAGGCTGGTCTCAAACTCCTGGCCTCATGTGATCTGCCCTCCTTAGCCTGTCAAAGTGTTGGGATTACAGGCATGAGCCACCGTGCCTGGCCAGGTGGAGGGGGCTCTCAAATGCCCGCAGGGGAAGGTTACAGGCAGAGTTGCAGACAGTGCTAACATTCACTGAGCACCCCCAAGACCTTCTCATATGGTCTCAGGACCCAGGGAGGCTCTCTTGTGAGCTGGGGTTACACTTCCCATTTTATAGGTAGGAAGACTGAGTCTCAGCAGACATTTCCTGTCTGTGTCCAGAGAGCTTCTGGAGCCATTTGCCCCAAGTGCCTTCCTCTGCCGAAAGAGCCCCTTTTCAGAAGGGAAGCAGAGCTTGGAATTCTCCACCCTCTGCCATAGAAATATACTTCCTTTTTATGGACACCCAGTGGAGGGACAGCTCTAGAGACAGCACTCGCTCACCCACTTTTACCCAGTGCCAGCCCTAGGCCTGGCTGGAGGCCTCTCCCAACTCCAGGAAGCCCCCAGCAACCTGAGACCCTTAGAACTGACCACGGGTTTGCCTTCCCCCCGCCTTTCCCCAGATAGCTGTTACTTTTATTCATGTATTCACTCATCAGTTTATTCATTGGTCTGTACATTCGGCAGACACTCAGGGGCCACCTGTCTTGTGCCAAGCCCTGTCAGGGCCCTGGCCCCAGGTAGCTCCCAGAGCAGGTGGGAGGCAGCTAATCACTACCAATCCAGATGAAGTGGGCAGGCAGTGTGAGCCCAGGGAGGACTTCCTCCCTGTCCCACCCCGGGGCAAGGGAGGGCCCTGGCAGGGCTGAGGGCAGACTAGGCAGCAGGGACAGCGCTGTCTGGGAGAGCAGGAGCAAAGGCTCCAGGGACAGTAAGGGGCTAGACTTCGGTGTGGAGGGTAGGGGTGGCAGGAGCTTGCCTGGGGCAGTTGCTTGGAGCTGTTTTGGGGGAGGCAGGGATGGGGTAGGAGGACACAGAAAGGAGGAACATTCTATCCCCTGCGGGAGGAACAGGAGGTTTCAGTACACTCTCTCTTTGTCCCTCTCCCTCCCCTCCCTGTATCTTCCCCCTCCCTTACCCTCTCACTCAGTATCCCTCTCCCTCTTACTCTCCTCCCTCTCTCTCCCCCTCCCTCTCCCCCTCCCTCTCACCCCTCACTCAGTTTCCCCCTCCCTCTTAACTCCCTCCTCTTACTCTCCTGTCTCTCTGGCTCCTTCTCTCTCCCCCTCCTTCTCTCTCTCCCTCCCTCTCTCTCCCCCTCCCTCTCACCCCTCACTCAGTTTCCCTCTCCCTCTTAACTCCCTCTTCTTACTCTCCTGTCTCTCTCTCCCCCCTTCTCTCTCCCCCTCCTTCTCTCTCCCCCTCCTCCCTCCCCCTCTCATTTCCTCTCCCCTCCCCCTCTCCCTCCCACTCGGCTCCCTCTCTCTCCTCCTCCCTCTCAGCCCCCTCCCTCTGTCTCCTTTTCCCTTCCCTCCCCTCCCTGTCCGTCCCCTTCCCTCTCTACTCCTCCCTCTGTCCCTCTCCCAGTTTCTCCCCTTCCTCCTCCCCTCCCTCTATCTTCTTCCTCTCCCTCCCCATCCCTGTCGTCTCCCCCCTCCCCATCCCTCCTCCACAGCTCTCCCTCCACCTACTCCCACCCCTGCCCAAGAAAGGGGAGCCCTGGTGCGGGTTCCTGCCCTCCCTCACCATCCGCTCCCGGGCTGCAGGCGGTGGCCCGCGTTTGGCTGGAGGAGCCTGCGGTCCCCAGCCCTAGACCCGGAGACTCAGCCTCCGCTCTCTTCCCCGCACTCCTCCCCAGGGGCCGGGCAGAAGGAGGGGCGTGCCGCGATGCCCCGCCCCCGTCCCGCCCTCCAGCCCCGCCCCTGCCCGTCTGTCTTGCAGCACCGGCAGCAGCGACCCCTACTGCATCGTGAAGGTGGACAATGAGCCCATCATCAGGTACCGCCCCCACCCCAGGAACGAGGGACGCTCCGCTGTCCCCGCAAAGGGCTGCGAATCTTGTTGTGAATTTTGTACGGAGATGGGAGGGAGCTTGGAGCACCTGATCCCCTGCCTGGGATCCCCACCTCGCCCTGACACCCCAGCTAGGGGGTGAGAAAGACCTTCCAGAAACTGGCCTGGCCAGCGGCTTCTCACCGGACCCCTCGTCTCTGCAGTCATCACAATCTCCGGGAGAGACTGATGCTGACGATTTGTAACAGCAGCTCTCGTTTGTGGAGCCAGCCCTTTTCCAGCCCGTTTAGTTCTTGCAATTAGCGAGATACGATATCATTACACCCCATTTACAGACAAGGAAACTGAGGCTCAGGGAGACTACCCTGCCCAAGGTCACATGCCTAGTAAGTGGCAGAGCCACATTGGAGCCCAAGTCTGGCCGCCCCAGAGCCTGAGCTCCCTCCCCCTCCCTGGTCCTGGCACTAATGTGGGGACTGTCTCCTGAGAGCCCCTGAGACTGGGCACCCCAGCCTGCACCCCAAAGGGACTTTCCTGGGATGTCCCTTCCTCCGTGGTCTCCATGATCTCTGGGCAGGGTCTTTGCTGTCCCCTCCCCTCCTTGACTCAGGCTCCTGCTTCCAAGTTCATGGCAGTGCTGCCCTGCTGTTCTGCCCACCTGAGTGCCTATGGCCTACTTGTAGCCAAGGCCGCCAGATTCCCAGTCCTTCCCCACCTGCAAGCAGAGTCCCAGCCTGTCTCGAGGGTCTGCAAACCACAGACAGAAAGAGGGAGTTGGGAAACAGGCCTGAGTTCAGATGACCTGCCTGAGAAGTGATTGGCATGGGGGGGGTCCCCTGAGCTTTCACCTGGTTCCTTGGGGTCTTCAGCATCCCCCACCCACTAGCCTGCTGAGTGACATGAGTTGAAGGCTCTGATCCACGGGGGTTTGGCCAGAGCTGAGTGGGGCTGAGAGGCCAGGTTCTGGAGCCGCCCTGAAGCAGCTATCCTGTGACCTGAGTGAAGCCAGCACCTGCCAACTGTGGTCTCAGTTTCCCCAAATGTAAAACAGCTGGAGAGGCTGGGCACAGTGGCCTGTGCCTGTAATCCCAGCACTTTGGGAAGCCAAGGTGGGCAGATCACCTGAGGTCAGGAGTTCGAGAGCAGCTTGACCAACACAGCAAAACCCTGTCTCTACTAAAACTACAAAATTGAGTTGGGCTTGGTGATGGGTGCCTGTAATCCCAGCTACCCAGGAGGCTGAGGCAGGAGAATTGCTTGAACCTGGGAGGCGGAGGTTGCAGTGAGCTGAGTTGATACCATTGCACTCCAGCCTGGACCGCAGAGCAAGACTTCGTCTCAAAAAAATTAAAGTAAAATAAATAGGCTGAGCACGGTGGCTCACGCCTGTAATCCCATCCCTTTTGGTGGCCGAGGCGGGTGGATCACCTGAGGTTGGGAGTTTGAGACCAGCCTGACCAACATGTAGAAATCTATCTCTACTAAAAATACAAAATTAGCTGGGCGTGGTGGCGGGCGCTTGTAATCCCAAGTACTCTGGAAACTGAGGCAGGAGAATCACCTGGACCCGGGAGGCGGAGGTTGCAGTGAGCTGAAATCACACCACTGCACTCCAGCCTGGGCAACAAGGGTGAAACTTTGTCTCATAAATAAATAAATAACAGCCAGAGAGAGGCAGCCCTGTGCCCTGTCCAGGGCAGAGAGGAAGGTCAGGGTTAGTGATTGGTGGTGGGTGGTAGGGTCTGGTGCAGGTAAATCACATCAGTAGCAAAGCCCGTGGTTACAGAGGTGGGGGGAGACACAAGGAAGTTTCCAGCCCAGGGCCTGAGGGTGGCCTGGGCACGTGCTGAGCGTTGTCTCCTGCAGGACGGCCACCGTGTGGAAGACCCTGTGCCCCTTCTGGGGTGAGGAGTACCAAGTGCATTTGCCACCCGCCTTCCACGCTGTGGCCTTCTACGTCATGGATGAGGATGCCCTCAGGTGGGTGACCCCTCTCCAGCTGGAACCCAGACCTGGCCACCTGACTGCTCCCTGGCCCATTCCACCGCCAGGACTCCTGGGTCCTTTTTTGTGTTGTCTTTGCAGCCTGGAGGGAGGCAGAGCCTGGGGGCCTGGGAGGGCGAAAGGCTTGAGTGCGTGGCTTCATGGTGCACGCGCCACGTCGCACGCAACACGTCACACGCGTGTGTGTGCAGGCATGCGGGTGCGGGTGTGCATGGACTATACATGTGCATGCAGGTGTGACAGGTGAAATGGACACCCAGAGAGCGTGAGCATGGCATGTGTGGGCATGAGAGAAACCTATCAATCCCCTCAGAGAGTCCAGAATCCCTGGTCTACAGAAAGGCCACAGGTCCAGGTCCACTGGGCTACCCTGCAAATGATGGCCATTTCCACCACCCTGCCCCCACCCTGGGGGGCCCTGAACTTGGTGGGAGGCAGGTGCTGGGCTCCAAGAGGGAAGGCACTGAAGCCATGCCCAGCTCTGGCTCCATCTCCCTCCTCTAGTCGGGACGACGTTATCGGGAAGGTCTGCCTTACAAGGGACACCCTGGCCGCTCACCCTAAGGGTAAGATGCTCCCTTTCCCTACCACACTGGTCTGCCCAGTTCCTGGCCTCCCCAGTTCCTGGCCTCCCTCCCACTCAGAGACCTCCCTTCTAGGCTCTGTCTGGTCTCCTGCTCAGGGAAAGCCGTTTCTACTCTCCCCAGAAGCCAGAGCCATGCCCAGCACCCCCGACCTGTTTTGCATTGTGTCCCCAATCCTAGTTGTCTCTTCCCTAGGGCGAAGAGGGTCGGCTAAGGGTGGAATCTGAGGCCTCTGCTGGCAGGAGAGAGGGCCTCCTTACACTCCATTGCTGAAGCGTAGAGACCCCTTCTCCCAATCGGGCCAGCTCCTTCTGTAATCCATGGGGTCCCCTCCACCTGGGCCCCAGTACTACTGTGTCCTAAGTCTGAAGGGTTGGCCCGGAGCCAGTCCAAGGTGGAGATCCCTTTGAATTATTCCTAGGATGCAGACATTGTTTTGTCTTACTTTTTAAAATTTTTGTATAGTAAAAAAAGTCAGAGGCTGGGCATGGTGGCTCATGCCTATAATTCCAGCACTTTGGGAGGCCAAGGCAGGTGGATCACCTGAGGCCAGGAGTTCGAGACCAGCCTGGCCAACAGGGTGAAATCCCATCTCTACTAAAAATAAAAATTAGCCAGGCTTGGCGCTTGCCTATAATCCTAGCTATTTGGGAGGCTGAGGCAGGAGAATGGCTTGAACCCCGCAGTCAGAGGTTGCAGTGAGCCAAGATCATGCCATTGCACTCCAGCCTGGGTGACAGAGTGAGACCCTGTCTCAAAAAAAAAAAAAAAAAAGGAGATTGGGGGTCTCACTCTGTTGCCCAGGCTGGTCTTGAACTCCTGGCTTTGACGGATCCTCCCGCCTTGGCCTCGCTCAAGTGCTAGGATTACAGGCGAGAGCCACCATGCTCTGCCCAGACATTATTTTGAGGAGTCAGCCCTGTGGCAGCCTCACTGTGTGTGCCCTTGGGCAGCTCTTCTCTGGGCTTCTCTGAGGGTTCAAACCAGTTCTTGGATGCCATGGGCTCTGCCATCAGAGCCTTTGTGTCCTGCTCACCAGCTTCCCCTGCACACACCTGCTCCTGTCTGTGAGGCTGGACCAGGCGTGGGGGCAGGGCGGAGGCAGGTTCTGCTGACTCATGGGGCCTCTTAGCCCCGGCCAGGCCAGAGGCCTCTCCCACCTGCAGCCTTAGCCAGCCTCTCTGGGGTCTAGTGGCCCCAGTGAGGCCATTCCTTGGGGTCCCTTGTAGCTTCCCCCTCCGGGCCTCAGACCCTCCTCCCAGCAACCCTAGGGGAGAGCCACTCTCCTTCGGTTTTAAGATGGGGAATCTGGGCCGGGCACCGTGGCTCACACCTATAATCCCAGCACTTTGGGAGGCCAAGCTGGGCGGATCACGAGGTCAGGAGTTCGAGATCAGCCTGACCAACATGGTGAAACACCATCTCTACTAAAAATACAAAACTTAGCACGATGTTGTGGCACGTGCCTGTAATCCTAGCTACTCAGGAGCCTGAGGCAGGAGAATCGCTTGAATGTGGGAGGTGGAGGTTGCAGTGAGCCGAGATCGTGCGAGGTGGGAGGATTGCTTGAGGTCAGGAGTTTGAGAGCAGCTTGCGCAACATAGCAAGATTCTATCTTTTTCTTTCTTTCTTTCTTTTTTTTTTTTGAGACGGAGTCTTGTTCTGTCACCCAGGCTGGAGTGCAATAGTATGATCTCAACTCACTGCAACCTCCGACTCCTGGGTTCAAGCGATTCTCCTGCCTCAGCCTCCCGAGTAGCTGGGATTACAGGTGTGTGCCACCATGCCCAGCTAATTTTTGCAACTCTAATTTTGCAACTCAACAAAAAAGTTGCTATTTTCTTGCAACTCTACTTTTTTGGAATCTTAGTAATCTTAGTAGAGACAGGGTTTCACCCTTGTTTGCCAGGCAAGTGCAAGACTCCTTTTTTTTTTTTTTTTTTTTTAATATTTTAACAAATCTACTTTAATTCTAAAATAAATTAACCTAGAATGGCCAGTAATATACAACGTTTATATGTTTATTTTATACGTCTCTATCTAATACAAGTTTATTTGTTTATGTGCAGTATATAACTATTTTAGATATGAGTCCTGACGGAATGATGAAATTATTTTCTTGCAACTCTACTTTATGCCTATGAAGGGTGTGACCTTGCAATGCCCTCCTGGCAAGGCTCCATCTTAATAAAATAAATTTTAAATGTAGGCCAGGCTCACGGCTCACCCCTGTAATCCCAGCATTTTGGGAGGCTCAGGTGGGCAGATCACTTGAGGCCAGGAGTTTGAGACCAGCCTGGGCAACATAGCAAGACTCCATCTTAATAAATTTTTTTTTTTTGAGACAGAGTCTTGCTCTGTTGCCAGGCGCCAGGCTGGAGTGCAGTGGCACAAGCCCAGCTCACTGCAACCTCCGCCTCCCAGGTTCAAGCAATGCTCCTGCCTCAGCCTCCTGAGTAGCTGGAACTACAGGTGTGTGCCACCATGCTAATTTTTGTATTTTTTAGTAGAGACAGGGTTTCACCATGTTGGCCAGGATGGTCTCGATCTCTTGACCTCATGATCCACATGCCTCAGCCTCCCAAAGTGCTGGGATTACAGGCGTGAGCCACTGCGCCCGGCCAATAAAAAATTTTTTAAATTTAGGCCAGGCGCAGTGGCTCACACCTATAATCCCAGCATTTTGGGAAGCTGAGGTGGGTGGATCACTTGAAGCCAGGAGTTCAAGCCTGGCCAACATGGCGAAACCACGTCTCTACTAAAAATACAAAAATTAGGCCAGGTGCTGTGGCTCACACCTGTAATCCCAGCACTTTGGGAGGCTAAGGTGGGCGGATCATGAGGTCAAGAGATCAAGACCATCCTGCCCAATATGGTGAAACCCCGTCTCTACTAAAAACACAAAAATTAGCTGGACATAGTCCTGTAGTCCCAGCTACTCAGGAGGCTGAGTCAGGAGAATGGCTTAAACCCGGGGGGCGGAGGTTGCAGTGAGCCAAGTTCGTGCCACTGCACTCCAGTCTGGCAACAGAGCGAGGCTCTATCTCAAANAAATTAGCCAGACATGGTGGTGCATGCCTGTAATCCCAGCTACTTGGGAGGCTGAGGCAGGAGAATCACTCGAACCCAGGAGGCGGAGGCTGCAATGAGCTGAGATCTCACCACTGCACTCCCACCTGGGCAACAGAGCAAGACCCTGTCTCTAAAAACAACAACAACAAAATGACCTGATAGTGAAGGCGCAGGCCCCAGGCCATACTGACTTAGATTCTAATCGCAGCTCCTCCAACCGCTGTTGTTCACCTGCTGAGCCTCGGTTTCCCCATCTGTCACTGGGGATACCAGCCCCTGCGTCACGGGTGCTTAGGGGATTCCCAGGGGATTATGGAGGTGCCTGGTGGGGGCTGAGGGTGAGGGGTGTGTGGGGGTTCAGGGCCGGTCCCTGGCTGAGCTGACCCCACAGGTTTCAGCGGGTGGACCCACCTGATGGAGGTTGACCCTGATGAGGAAGTGCAGGGCGAGATCCACCTACGGCTGGAAGTGCTGCCGGGGGCCCGGGCTCGCCGACTTCGCTGCTCTGTGCTGGAGGCCAGGTGAGACTCAGGGGCCCGGGGGGCAGGCAGTGGGTCCCCTGCAACTAGAGAAACCCATTGAGGAAGCTGAGCCTCCCCTCGCCCCACCTCTACCTCCTGGTCCCAGAGCCGGCCACTTCCCATCAAAGCCTGCTTTCAAGCAAGGGCCTCGCCAGGCAATGTCTGATGCCTGTCATCCCAGCACTTTGGGAGGCCAGGGTGGGTGGATCACCTGAGGCCAGGAGTTCAAGACCAGCCTGACCAACATGGTGAGACTCTGTCTGCACTAAAAACACAAAAATTACCTGGGCATGGTGATGCATGCCTGTAATCCCAGCTACTTGGGAGGCTGAGACATGAGAATCACTTGAACCCAGAGCCGAAGGTTGCAGTGAGCCGAGATCGTGCCATTGCACTCCAGCCTGGGCAACAAAAGTGAAACTCCATCTCAAAAAGAAAAAAAAAGAGAATCTGGGGAGGTTTTCTGGACTTGGAGATGTTTCCTGGATGATTTCCACTCAAGGGGTTATGTCCTTTAAGGGAAAAGCTAATGTTCTCATGGAGAAACTTGAGCCATCACAGAGGAATGGAGTAGGGGGTATAGGTGAGGGACCCCAAACTCTGGTCACACAGTCCCAGTGCCCCAGTGCTGGGGCCGGCTTCTCTATCTTTAACCCCAGTGTGAACTTGGCCTGGTGGGTGTGTGTGTGGGGTAAGCGGGTCCTTTGTGGGGCTGGAGTGTGAAAAGAATTGCTAAAAATCTCCCGATGGGCAAAATGAGGGTTCCCCCAAGGAGGGACACTGGCCTGGATGGTTCCATGAGCCTGAGTCACCTGTGACAGGGCCACTGCCCCACCCCAGGGTATTTTTAGCTGCACTCTCGTCTGGGCCTGAGTGTGAGTCACACTCTGTCCCTGAGAAGTGCCTTCCTTTCCATCACCAAACTCACCGCCCCGTAGTCGCTCCCTGACTGTGGGACGGGAGGGTGGCCCCCAGCCAGGCAGCCCCTATGGAGCCAGTGTGACCCTGACTCTTGGGAGGTCAGCCTAAAAGGAAGACTTCTCTTGGGCAGAGGAGGGGTGTGGGTCAGATGATGCTCACATTGCTCACGCGGGAGTTATTTTCTGTCCTGGGAAAATAGAAAAGAATGGAAAAATGGCTGGGCTTAGGCTGAGCCTCAGCCACCCCCTCACACTCGCTCACCTTCTGGCGCCCCCCATTCATTCTCCCCACCCCACCCCCACTCATCCACTTCCTCCATCCTTATCCTTGCCGGGCACCGGGCTGTCTGGGGGACAGGCATGCACACGTGTGTACACGCTCACACACACACCCGGGCTCTGGGACCTCGGGACTGCTTCTCCTGGGCACCCATCGTCACCCATGAAGATGGGAGGCACGGAAGCATGTCTCCCTGGCCCTCCCCTCACTCCAGGTGTCTTCTCTCTCCCATCCTCTGGGGCCACAGTGGCTGACCGTCTGTTAGAGTCTTAGCAAGGGAGAGGAATCTCCAGGCCTCTCTTAGAGTGAGGGGACTTGTCCCCCATTGTCCTCACCAATGAGACTCTTGTTGGAATCCCAAGTCAGCTTAAGAAGGTCCATTTGCTGCAGAGGAAGAAAGAACATGTCCTCTTTATTTTTTTCTGAGCAAATTCTCAATATTTCAATAAAACCGTGGGGGTTTTATTGTTTGTTTGTTTGTTTTTTGAGAGAGAGAATCTTGCTCCGTCATCCAGGCTGGAGTGCAGTAGTGTTTTCTAGGCTTACTGCAACCTCCGCTTCCCAGGGTTTAAGTGATCTCCTGCCTCAGCCTCCTGAGTAACTGGGACTACAGGGGTACCCCACCATGCCCAATTAATTCTTTTGTATTTTTAGTAGAGACAGAGTTTCACCAGGTTGGCCAGGCTGGTCTCCAACTCCTGACCTCAGGTGATCCTCCTGCCTCAGCTTCCCAAACTGCTGGGATTACAGGCATGAGCCAGTGTGCCTGGCCTCAACCTTGGGGTTTTATTAGATAGTTTTTGAGCGAGAAAGAAAGGCAGGTGTGAGAAGTTTAAAATAACAAAGATGAGTGGGCTTTGGTGTTCTTCCATAAAGAGTTCTTTTTTTTTTTTAATTTATTTTTTTAGAGATGGGGTCTCGCTATGTTGCCCAGGCTGGAGTGCAGTGGCTATTCACAGGCATGATCCCACTACTGATCAGCACGGGAGTTTTGACCTGCTCCATTTCCAACCTGGGCCGGTTCACCCCTCCTTAGGCAACCTGGTGGTCCCCCGCTCCCAAGAGGTCACCGTATTGATGCCAAACTTAGTGTGGACACCCGATTGGCATAGCGCACTACAGCCCAGAACTCCTGGGCTCAAGCGATCCTCCACCTCAGCCTCCTGAGTAGCTGGGACTACAGGCACGAGCCACTGCACCCCGCTTCCATAAAGAATTCTAAAGTGGGGGATATGTGGAAGGGTGTAGTAATCCCAGTGCTTTGGGAAGCAGAGGTGGAAAGATCTCTTAAGGCCAGGAGTTTGAGACCAGCCTGGGCAACATAGCAAGATCCTGTCTCTACAAAAAAAAAAATTTTAAATAAGCCAGGCGTGGTAGTGCACTCCTATAGTCCCAGCTACTTGAGAGGCTGAGGTAGGAGGATCGCTTGAGTCCAGGAGGTGGAGGCTGCAGTGAGCTATGATTGTACCACTGCACTCCAGCCTGGGCAACAGAACAAGATCCTGTCTCAAAAAAAGAAAAAAAGTGGGGGGGGGGAGCTGAGCGTGATGGCTCATTCCTGTAATCTCAGCACTTTGGGAGGTCAAGGTAGGTGGATCACCTAAGGTCAGGAGTTTGAGACCAGCCGGGCCAACCTGGTGAAACCTGTCCCTACTAAAAATACAAAAATCAGCCAGGTGTGGTGGTGGGCAGCTGTAATCCCAGCTACCTGGAAGGCTGAGGCAGGAGAATCGCTTGTAAGTGGGAGGCAGAGGTTGCAGTGAGCCAAGATTACTCCACTGCACTCCAGCCTGGGTGACAGAGCGAGACTCCGTCTCAAAAAAAGAAAAAAAAAAAAAATGCTGGGGTGCTGTGACTAGACCTGGGCTGTATAAAGACCCGTCTGTGGAGAGAGGAAAGGGCTGCACCTCACCCCTCCACCAGGTAGGGCGACATGACTGGGGCAGGTTTTCCAGAAGCGCACTCTCTCCCTAAACCTGAGCTCAGTAGCGATTAGCTTTTCCAGTTTCCTGATGAGGAAGCAAGGCTCAGGGCAGCCCTGGGAACAGAGGGCCGGGCACGTGGCCCCAGCGGTTCCCTGGCAGCACTCACACCTGGCCCCCTGGAAACCCCCTCAGAGTGAGGTGCAGCCACTGGCCTGGTAGGAAGGAGTCACGGCCTCCACCTTGGGGGACTCTTGGCCACATGGGTGACTGTGGGGAGGTGGCTGTGGGAACAGGGCCCAGGAAGGGGAGAGGCTCACTGTCCACAGTCAGCTTGCCAGGAACGGAATGTGCCCAGGCCTTTTGGCCCGTTGTGGTTATATAATGGTGGTGACAAGTGGGGGAGGGGGGCTCAGGGGACAAGTGGATGATCCTCCCTTCCTCCACCCCCACCAGAGATCTGGCACCAAAGGACCGCAATGGCGCATCTGACCCCTTCGTCCGAGTGCGCTACAAGGGCCGGACGCAGGAGACCTCGGTGAGGAGGCCAGAGGGCAGGGAAGGGCAGGAGGCTCGGGGACCTGCCAGCCATGCCCCCATCGCTCACCTCACTATCGGCTCACCGTCACCTGGAGGAACAGATTGGGAGCCACAGTCTTACGGAGGAGGCCCAGGGAAGGGGGCGACCTGTCTAAGGGGACATAATAGGTCCCAGCCCCTCTGGTGCCAACTCCGCTCACTCCTGGCCATGCTGGGGGGTGAGGAGGGGATTAAGACAGCTGGAGTGGCATTTATCTGGGAACACCCAAGCTGCCTTCCCCACCCACAGGAAACATCCGGGGGGGGGCTCATTTCTGAGCAGGAAAGTACCAAGGTCTGGCTTCTCAGTGGAGTCGCTGCTGTTTTTTTGCTTTGTGTTTTGTGGCTTGTTTTTGGTTTTTTGGTTTTTTTTTTTTTGAGGCTGAGTCCTGCTCTGTCGCCCAGGCTGGAGTGCAGTGCATCTCGGCTCCCTGCAGCCTCTGCCTCCTGAGTTCAAGCAATTCTCCTGCCTCAACCTCCTGAGTAGCTGGAATTACAGGCACATGCCACCACACCCGGCTAATTTTCTGTATTTTTAGTAGAGATGGGGTTTCACCATGTTAGTCAGGCTGGCCTCGAACTCCTGGCCTCAAGCGATCCTCCTGCCTTGGCCTCCCAAAGTGCTGGGATTACAGGCATGAGGCACCTCGCCAGCCCTGTGTTTTTTGTTTGTTTGTTTGTTTTAATTTTTTGTTTCCATAGATTATTGGAGAGCAGGTGGTGTTTGGTTACATGAGTAAGTTCTTCAGTGGTGATTTCTGAGATTTGGTGCACCCATCAGCTGTGCACCTCACACTGCACTTGATTTGTAGCCTTTTAGTCCTCACCCCTCCCACCGTTTCTCCCGAGTCCCCAAAGTCCACTCTGTCACTCTTATGCCTTTGCATCCTCATAGCTTAGCTCCCACTTATGAGTGAGAACATACGATGTTTCATTTTCCATTCCTGAGTAACTTCACTTAGAATAATAGTCTCCAGTTCCATCCAGCTTGCTGTGAATGCCACTAATTCATTCCTTTTTTATGACTGAGTAGTATTCCATTATATATATATATATATATATATATATACACATACACATACCGTGGTTTCTTTATCCACTTGTTGATTGATGAGCATCTGAGTTGGTTTCACATTTTTGCAACTGCAAATCATTCTGTTATAAACATGCGTGTGTGAGTATCTTTTTCGTATTGGTATCTTTTCCTCTGGGTAGAGAGATACCCAGTGGTGGGACTGCTGAATGGAGTGGTAATTCTACTTTTAGTTACTTGAGGAATCTCTACACTGTTTTCTATAGTGGTGGTTCTCGTTCACATTCCCACCAGCGGTGTAGAAGTGTCCCCTGTACACCTCATCCACACAGTCACTACTGTTTTGCTGTGTGGCCTTGGATACGTCTCTTCCCCACCCTGGGCCTCAATTCTCCCCATCTGAGAAACGTGTGGGAGCTTAGGACATGACATTGTAACCCCTGATGTGGCAGAGCCTCCAAGGCGAGGAGGCTGCAGGGACAGGGCGGTGTCTGAGGCAGCTCTGCTTTCTGCCCAGCCTGGGGAGTCTGGTGGCATCAGCCTAACCCCCTCCCACCCGCTCTGCGCAGATCGTGAAGAAGTCATGCTACCCACGCTGGAATGAGACATTTGAGTTTGAGCTGGAGGAGGGGGCCGCAGAGGCGCTGTGTGTGGAGGCCTGGGACTGGGATCTTGTCAGCAGAAATGACTTCCTGGGCAAAGTGAGCACCCCTCCCTCCAGGCTGCACCTGTTGTCCCCCAGCACCTGGCTCCATTGCAGCCACCCCACACTCAGAGATCTCCCTCCAGCTTCCCCAGAGAGGGCTACTCAGGAAGTGCCTGGGACTACCTGCCCCCCACGCCCGCACCCCGTCTACCAGAACCAGCAACTTCTCCCCACAGCCACTGGCGCTCAGGGACCCTTGGAGGACCCTCCCCACTAAGAACAGTAGTTGGCAAGGAGGAGACCTAAGTGTCCCAGCTCCAGGAGGACTTCCACTGTGTCCCCAGGTGGTGATCGATGTCCAGAGACTGTGGGCGGCCCAGCAGGAGGAGGGCTGGTTCCGGCTGCAGCCCGACCAGTCCAAGAGCCGGCGGCGCGAAGAGTAAGTGCGAGGGGCTGGGGCAGGGCTGAGGGTGGGGAACCGGCTACAGGCAGGCAGGGCAGGTGGGCTGCTCAGGGGCGAGAGGTCAGGAGACGCAGGTCCAGGGTTCCCTCAGCCCCTGCCCACCAGGCCAGCACCCTTCTCATCCAGGCTGGGCTTTACCTTCCCACAGTCCCACACTCAGCTCCATCTTTTTTTTTTTTTTCTTTTGAGACAGAGTCTTGCTCTGTTGCCCAGGCTGGAGTGCAGGGGCGCAATCTCTGCTCACTGCAACCTCCAGTGATTCTCCTGCTTCAGCCTCCCGATTAGCTGGGATTACAGGTGCCCACCACCACACCCGGCTAATTTTTACATTTTTAGTAGAGACAAGGCTCCACCATGTTGGCCAGGCTGATTTCAAACTCTTGACCTCAAGTGATCCACCTGCCTCGGCCTCCCAAAGTGCTGGGATTACAGGCGTGAGCCACCACACCTGGCCAGCTCTGTCTTCTTAGCTCACAGGTTATACAGGTCTCCTGCTTTCTGCCCTCTGGAAATTTCTAAAACAAGTGCTCAGACACTTTGACAATTTCCCTGCAGACTTCAGACCCGGGTTCAAGTCTCCAGGGTCCGTGTCCCTGAGCCACAGCTCTAATTCCCTCCCCAAGATTCTCCAGGAATATGGTTTCCAGATAAAAGACAGGACACCCTTGCCCAGAAGTGGTGGCTCATGCCTGTAATCCCAGCTCTTTGGGAGGCCGAGGTGGGAGGATCACTTGAGGCGAGGAGTTTGAGACCAGCCTGGGCAAGAAAGTGACACTTCGTCTCTACAAATAAATAAAAAATTAGCTGGGCATGGTGGTACATTCCTGTGGTTCTAGCTACCCTGGGCATTGAGGTGGGAGGATTGCTTGCACCCAGAAGATGGAGGCTACAGTGAGCTATGATCACTTCTGCACTTCAGCCTGGGTGACAGAGCAAGACCCTGTTTCAAAAAAAAAGGCCAGACGCAGTGACTCACGTCTGTAATCCCAGCACTTTGGGAGGCTGAGGAGGGTGGCTCACATGAAGTCAGGAGTTCAAGACCAGCCTGGCCAACATGGTGAAACCCTGTCTCTACTAAAAGTATAAAAATGAGCCGGGTGTGGTGGCAGGTGTCTGTAATCCCACCTATTTGGGAGGCTGAGGCAGGAGAATCGGTTGAACCCAGGAGGCAGAGGTTGGAGTGAGCCGAGATCACCCTGCTGCACTCTAGCTGGGAGACAGGGCAACACTCAGTCTCAAAAACAAAAACAAAAACACTCTGTACTATTTGAGACAATACCTATACAAAAAATATTCAAATTTAGGCCAGGCACGTGGTGGCTCATGTCTGTAATTTCAGCACTTTGGGAGGCCAAGGCAGGAGGATCACTTGAGCCCAGGAGTTCAAGACCAGCCTGGGCAACATAGCAAGACCCCATCTCTAAAAAAATAGTTAATAAGTAAATAAAATCTTCACATTTAACTGTCTTGGGTTGTCGTTTTGCTAAATTTGGCAGCCTGTCTAGGAAGCCCTCATCTTACAAATGACAACAGCGAGGTTTGCTGTGACTCCCACAGCCCTGGATGGTTCAGCTTTGTGTCCCCGTGGAAGGCCCCAGACCCCTCTCTCCTCCATTTCCATTCTTTTTTTTTTTTTTTTTTTGAGACGGAGTCTCACTCATGTTACCCAGGCTGGAGTGCAATGGCGTGATCTCGGCTCACCGCAACCTCCGCCTCCTGGGTTCAGGCAATTCTCCTGCCTCTGCCTCCTGAGCAGCTGGGACTACAGGCACGTGCCACCATGCCCAGCTGATTTTTTGTATTTTTAGTAGAGACGGGGTTTCACCATGTTGGCCAGGATGGTCTCGATCTCTTGACCTCGTGATCCACCCGCCTCGGCCTCCCAAAGTGCTGGGATTACAGGCTTGAGCCACCGCGCCCGGCTTCCATTTCCATTCTTAACAGGGTAGGGGCAGGTGGGCGGCTGCGTGTCAGCACCAAGGCATTTCCATAGAGCCAACAAAGGCCCATCTTCTTTTTTTTTTTTTTTTTGAGACAGTCAGGCTGGGGTATGGTGGTGCAATCTTGGCTCACTGCAACCTCTGCTTCCCAGGTTGAAGTGATTCTCCTGCCTCACTTCAGTCTCCCAAGTCGCTGGGATTACAAGCACCTGCCACCACACTGGCTACCTTTTTTCTTTCTTTTCTTTTCTTTCCTTTTGGAGACGGAGTTTTGCTCTTATTGCCCAGGCTGGAGTGCAGTGGCGCGATCTTGGCTCACCACAACCTCCGCCTCCCGGATTCAAGTGATCCTCCTGCCTCAGCCTCCAGAGTAGCTGGGATGACAGGCATGCACCACCACACGCAGCTAATTTTGTATTTTTGTAGAGACGGGGTTTCCCCATGTTGGCCAGGCTGGTCTTGGACTCCCAACCTCAGATGATCCGCCCACCTAAGCCTCCCAAAGTGCTGGGGTTACAGGCGTGAGCCACCACGCCAGGCTCAGGGACCCTTCTTAACACATACTGTGCATGAAGCTTGTGCTGAGCAGGGGTAGTGGGGGCCTTAGAGGATGTCATGCCTTGGTTCACACCCTCCCTGTCAGAACAGGGAAGCTTGGAAGCTGGATCTAATGTGGCAAGTTGCTACTGAACCAGCTCGAGCCTCAGTTTCCCTATTAGGTTGTTTTGAGGGTTGGGGATTTATTTCACTGTAAAGTGCACACAGGCTGGTGCCATCATCTGGGAGTGTATAGATTCAAGGCTGGGAGACCCACATACCCAAGCTTGGAGGTGGCAGGGAGCCGGACCTTGAAGACAGATAGAGGTGCCATAAATGCAGAGGCAAGAAGGGCTTTCCAGAAAGAGAACATAAATAGCCGGGCAGAGCCTAGGAGGCAGAGCTGTGCAGGGCACCCAGATGGAGGGCATGAGCAGAGGGACGGGAGGCTGGCCCCAAGAGAGAAAGACGGGAGGCCGTGGGAGGGGCGCGGCCCAGGGTGGCCTGGGTCCCCGGTGGAGAGGTCACAGGCTGCCCATTCCAGGGGCAACCTGGGCTCCTTGCAGCTGGAGGTGCGGCTGCGGGATGAGACGGTGCTGCCCTCCAGCTGCTACCAACCGCTGGTGCAGCTGCTGTGCCAGGAGGTGAAGCTGGGCGTGCAGGTGAGGGCCCCGGGGCAGGGGGGAGGGTCCAGCGGCGGTAGGCCTAAGCCCTGTCCTAAACACATTCTGCAGAATGGAAAACTGAGGTCTGGGGATGTAAGGAGTTGGCCAGTGCCCAGGGCCCCGTCCCCGGCCACCCCTTGGGAAAGCACCTTCCTTCTCCGGGGTACCCTGAGGTTCTCAGAGGGAAGGGTTCGGGATCCCCCGTGCCTCTCCCTGCAGGGCCCGGGGCAGCTGATCCCACTCATTGAGGAGACAACCAGCACGGAGTGTCGACAGGACGTGGCCACCAACCTGCTCAAGCTCTTCCTGGGGCAGGGGCTGGCCAAGGACTTCCTGGACCTACTCTTCCAGCTGGAGCTGAGTCGCACCAGTGAGGCCTGGGAGGGAGCTGGGCCCAGCGGACTGGGAGGTGGTGGTGGGGAGGAGATCCTCGTGCAAGAGGCAGATGGGAGACAGGAGGGAGGTAAGGGACAGAGCCAAGGGCAGAGGTGGGACAGTGGGCTGGGAGGTGGCGAGGAGGCCCTTTATTGAGGGGCCAGCTTAGGTCCCCCAGCCCCAAGGTCCTCTGTCCCCCCCACCCCGAAAGCTTTGTCCCAGCCCCCTACCCACTGGGACCTCTGTTTGTAGGTGAGGCCAACACCCTGTTCCGGAGCAACTCCCTGGCCTCAAAGTCCATGGAGTCCTTTCTGAAGGTGAGGTTGCCTTCGATATTGTCCTCATCTTACAGATGACAACAGTGAGGTTCAGAGATACCAATGGAAGGGCTGCAACTTCCACTCCAGTGTTCTATCTCTGTATTCAGAGCCCTTGAAGGTTAAGAATGTGGCCCAGCCAGGCACAGTGGCGCGTGCCTGTAGTCCCAGCTACTCGGGAGGCGGAGGCTGGAGGATCGCTTGAGTCTAGGAGTTCTGGGCTGTAGTGCGCTATGCCGATCAGGTGTCCACACTAAGTTCGGTATCAATATGGTGACCTCTCGAGAGTGGGGGCCCACCATGTTGCCTAAGGAGGGGTGAACCGGCCCAGGTCAGAAACAGAGCAGGTCAAAACTCCCATGCTGATCAGTAGTGGGATCGAGCCTGTGAATAGCCACTGCACTGGGCAACACAGCGGACCCCATCTCTTAAAAAAAAAAAAAAAGAGAGAGATAGAAAAGAATGTGGCTGAGCACAGTAGCTCATGCCTGTAATCTCAGCACTTTGAGAGGCTGAGTCAGGTGGATCATCTGAGGTCAGGAGTTTGAGACCAGCCTGGCCAACCTGGTGAAACCCCGTCTCTACTAAAAATGCAAAAATTAGCCTGGTGTGGTGGCGGGCTCCTGTAATCCCAGCTACTGAGGAGGCTGAGGCAGAATTGCTTTAACCAGGAGGCAGAGGTTGCAGTGAGCTCACGCCACTGCACTCCAGCCTGGGCCACAGAGCGAGACTCCATCTCTCCCCCAAAAAAGTGTGTGTGTGTGGTGTGTGTGTGTGTGTGTTTAAGT